GTTTAACAGAGCCCTTTTAAAAAATAGTAACTTCTCGGTTAAAACCCATCTTTCGCAAATTTTATAGTTTTGGCCCAAATCCAAAAACTTTACATTTTTGATCTTTTTTGGAAATGAAAAGCATTTTGACCCTTGAAATGGTTTTGTTACACTTTTTATCCCTGTTTTGAAGAAAGTTTTCATTTCAGCCCTTATAATTTTCATTTTTCCGCAATTTTGGGCTTATTGGGCCAAAAAGCCCAAAATTAGCCCATTAAGCTAAAAATTTACATTTCAAGTCCTTTGAAAATTTCTAATATTCAGAAAAACGATTATAGAACTGGTTTTGACTCTTTTGACCCTCAAAAACCGTGACTTGGCAATTTTTAAACCCAAGTTTTGTATTTTTGACAATTTAAGCCCAAAAATGGTCTTATGTTGAATATGTTTATCATAATCTTATAAGTTATTATTTTTGACTTGTTTAGTGTAAAATAACTTAGATCATGTTTTGTTTCCTTTCTCATATCATAGATCTTGAGTAACACCCTTTTGGTTACATGTTCATCACAAAAACACATAAAATCACACATACATGCATAAAATCACACATAGCAGACACATACACATAGATCTACACACATTGCTTGTATTCTCCCCCATAAAACATATAAAAACAAAAGAGAGGGGTATGAAGCCTCACCTTGAGTTGTGGGTTCGTTTTTGAAGGAAGAGGTGAACAAAGTTTCGATCCTAGCAAGTCTCTTGGTAAATCTCGAACTTAGATGATTTCTAAGAGAGTGATCATGAGTTTTGTATAGATTTAGAAAGAGGTTTTTGATAAAACAAAGAATCTAGATCATAGATCCAAGCATGAACTTACCTTAAATGATGATTTTGGTGGAATATCCTTCTTGAAAAACCTCCTAAATTCGAGTATTTGGTGGAGAGTGAAGGGAGTTTTCCTTGAGAGAGGTTTGAGTGAAATGCACGAGTACAAAAAATGACTACGGTCACACTTTCCGAAAAACGGCCTGTGACACTTTTTCTTAAAAGTGTAGGCCAAATGTCCTAAAAAAAAATTTAGAGACTGTTTTTGGATACTGTAAATTAGATTGTTGGCCATTATATAGACAATCAACACATTTAACCACACTTAATTATACCAATGTACAAATATTAGTCACAACTCGAACACTGAGGCCATAGGTCACAATCAGCCACAGGATCATTAAGATTGTCATACTTTTTTTATGAGAGACAGTAGATAAAAGTATCGTCACATGAGTTAGTTCTCTGTGTGTCTATAACCTGGTGCTTTTTAGCCACATAACAGACACAGTAGCTAAAAGGTGATACATATGGTCACACTAAATATTTGTGTGTCCATAGGGCGGTTCTGTACTAGTTTACTTAGTTAACGCAAGAAAAGAAAACAAGTTAGTATTGGTTATTATGGACATGTACCTATAAGTTATGTGTGTCAAAATATGATGAATTGGCATTGAGAAGAAACAAATATTGTGTGTGTAGGTAGCATTTAGTTATGATTACAGCTATATATTGTTCTATATGTAAATATAGTTATAAAGAATAATAATGTCTTATCGGTATAATTAGGGGTCGTTCATTGAATATGTTACTATAATTATGTAATGTTCATTCTGGTTGTACTATTGTAGTTGTAGTTTAAAAATAGTCTTTATAAAATGAAAATTTGTTGCTGTAAACTGAAACTGAAATTGTTTCCTGGTTAAGTTATTATACAAAAAAATGACAATATTGTATGATCAGTATATTTATAGTATGGTCATTCAATGTGTGACTATAATTATGTAACGGTCATTGTTTTTGTACTAATGTATGTCTAAATTTAAAGAATAGTCTTCACTAGTCAACCATTTGACTTATATAAAGTCATTGACTACCACCCAAACTGCATAAGTTATTATTAAAGTTTGGGAAAGTTTTTGCAAAAAAAAAATGTCATGATTTTTGTTTGAAGACGGTTGGAATTGCTTACATCAAATGAGTTTTGGTTATATATCAGTTTGACTTTTGGGACCTATTTTGGTCATATAACAGTTGGAGTGATGTCACATGTATGAAATGAATTGGCAGCAATATGCTGGAAACAGTACAATTAAAAGGATGGAAACATATACTAAAATCTTATAATTATATCTAAACACCCGCTTTTTTAAACTAAAAAAAAGTAATACGAGTAATATTGTCAATTTGGGGCCGAAACACCATACAGAGTAGTTACTAGCATACACACTGGAGCAAAATTCCAATCAAACATCCAAAGAACATTTTATTCTCTTTTAAGGAAGTAACTTCCAAACAAACTTCCAAGAAACACTAGCTTATACATCGTATTTAATAAACTTTTTGTTTCGTCCATGTGAAATTCATCTCATTATCTCTCCACGAGTAAATTTGGTATGAGGGATTATAATAACTCATCATCTTTAGAAATTCGCCCATCTAGTCAGACATTGCTTCCATTTGATTTATCAAATCATCCCTATGTGATAACAACTTTGTAATATCTTCCTGTAAACTTTGATTTTCAGCATCTAATGTCTTTTTTTATCTTCAAACTGTTTTTGAAGTTTTTCACTTTCTAATTTCTTGATTCCCAACAAGACTTTGATTCTCAACTTGATTCCACATAAACACATGAAAGTTAAAATAAAAAATTTTGAGTGAACGTAAACATAAAGCATACCAATATAAATAGTCAAGATTATCCTTTATTTTTCTAAACCCGAACCCCATTTCTACAAACCATTTATTAGGTTTGACATCAAAAGATTAAACAGGAATAACAACAAAATCTTGTTTGAGGTTATAGCAAAAAAAATTCAATTTATTGAGGTTACTATCATCAATTTCGACCCAATTAACCACACTTAAAATTACAGATACACCTAAATCACATCAAGATATAGAACATACGATGTATATTCTTCAATTTTCATATCCTCTTTATCGTTGATCGATTTCTTGACTGCCTAAGCTTGATGCTCTGTAGCTGTATAGAAAAATTGAGATTTATTCTTGAATATGAAGCTTATTGCGTTCTATGATATGTAGATAATTTTTAGGTTTAGGGTTAAAGGAAGATAACCAACCTGGTGGTGATCGATTTAGTTGGCGATGGTATCCTAAGTGGGCGACAACTGCGATGGTAGGGATTTCGGCGATGGAGCAGGTGGTTGGTGTTGGAAAGGAAGGCGGTGGAAGAGGTGGTCGGCGTTGGAGAGGAAGGCGGTAGAGGAGGTGGTCGACGACGCTAAAGTAGAACCGAAGGAAAAGACAGAATGAAGTCCCAAAACGGAGGCGGAGATGCGATTCATATGAGGGAGATGTCAAACGTTAGCTAGAAAATGGGAATCAATTAAGGGCATGTTTTGGCACAAAGGAATAAGAACGAAATGAAAAAAATAAGAGAGGGAATTTTAATTTTTTGTGAAATTTTTTAATTTTAATACATTAATGGATTTAAAAAAAATATTCATTGAAATTGATTATACAAAATAGACAAAATTATACGATTTGAAGGATCATTATTCCAAGTTGTGGGATTATGGAGCTGAAATTAAAAGGGCCAACCCAGGATCTCATGTTGAAGTGTATGTGCAGCCCTAAAATAATTCTAATGTGGTGTTTGAAAGGTTTTATGTGAGTTTTAAAGGAGTGGTTGATGGTTGGTTAAATGGGTGTAGGAAGGTAATTGGGATAGATGGATGTATTCTGAAGGGCATCTGTAAATGGGAGCTACTCTCAGCAGTAGGCAGGGATGGAAACAATAACCTATACCCAATAGCCTGGGCAGTAGTAAATATTGAGAACAAGAATACATGGAAGTGGTTCTTGGAAAATCTAATGGAAGACATAGATGAAGGGGGGGAAATGGTAATGGAATCACATTGATGTCAGATGGACACAAGGTACATATATACACAACTTATCTTTTACAAAAATTACCTTTTACACAAACTAACATTCCAAATCAATGCATGATATAATGGAGGTTGTGAAAGAAAGATGTCCAGAAGTTGAGCATAGGTTGTGCGCTAGGCACATCCTTGCTAACTTCCATAAAAAGTTTAAGGGTGAGTGCTACATTAAACCTTTTTGGAGGGCTGTAAAGGCAACTAAAATTCATAAATTTGAACTTGCAATGGAAGAAATCAAGAGCTTTGATGTAGGGGCATATGATTATCTCATTAAAAGGGATCCCAACTGTTGGTCAAGGGCTTTTTTTAAGGTTGGAATGGGATGTGATGTAATGGAAAATGGTGTGTCTAAGAGCTTCAATGTTGCTATTGAAGAAGCTAGAAAGAAGCCATTGATCACTATGTTGGAGGACATAAGGGTATTTGTTATGGAGAGATTGTACATGAAGAAAGGGAAAGGATTGGGCTGGAATTTGGCAATCTGTCCAAGTATCAGAACAAAACTTGGTGAACTAAAGAAGTTGAGAAGGTTAGTTGTTACAAACACTTTTACTTACTTTTTGTACATTTAAGTGCTAACTAACTTTTTCTATTGACAGATTCTGGGCATCATATGTTAGTGGATACAAACAGTTTGAAGTTGTGCAATGTAATGAAAGGTATGGTGTTGACTTGGAGAAGAAAGAATGTGGATGCAAAGGTTGGCAATTGACATGAACTCCTTGTGTACATGCCATATGTGCCATAACTTCCTTGAATATTGATCCAGAGGAATATGTTGCAGAGTGGTTTACTAAATCTGCATTTCTTAGGGATTATGAGTACAACATACATCCCCTGAATGATAGTACCTTGTGGCCCCACATGCCTGGTTTTAACCATATACTACCTCCTATTAGGAGGAGGTTACCTGGTAGGCCATGTGTGGAAAGAAAAAGAGACCAAGCAGAAAATGAACTCAGTGGGAAAACAAGGCATACTGTAAGCAGGGCAGGTGTTCAACACAGATGTACAACTTTTAATGAAACTAGACACAACAAAGCTACATGTCCAATGAGGGGTCCTTTTGAAGCAGGTCCAAGTAAAGCAAAAAAGAAGAGTAATGCAAGAAACTGTCATTCACAAGCAGGCTCAAGCACTCTAGCTCCAAGTACTCCAACACATGTCAATCAAGATCCTTTGACTCAAGAGCATGTCCCTGTGAATCAAGAGCCTGTCATTCAAGAGAATGTCCCTATGAATCAAGAGCATGTGAATGAAGATCCTGTGAATCAGGAGCATGTGAATGAAGTTCCTATGAATCTGGTACCTGTTAACCAAGTGCCTGTGAATCGTGGTGTTAGAGTGTCTAAGAGCCTTGGTGTTAGAGCAAGGAAGCCTTCAGAGAGAATCAACAAGATACAAATTAGGAAACAGGTTTTTCGAAAGGATGGCAAAGGAGTGACTGAGGACAACCCAGTTACTTTAGACTGATTAGGGTTACTTGTTTTCTTTTGCTTTGGAAGTATGTAATGGTACACTGTGTATGGTGACTTTCTTTTGTTAATTGGGCCAACTTTTGATTTAATTGACAATACTACCCTTGCTTGTAACCTAGCAACTTTTTATGGCCTTTAAGTAATGGAATCGGATATGGTATCCTATGTCAATTGTGTTTTGTCTTTTTCAATATTTATTGGTATTAATGCATTAGTTTATTAAGAAGGTTATAATGGGAATCATATGTCAATTGTCTATTGGGAAATCATATTCCCTATTTGTTTCTATCAATGTCCTTTGTCTTTTGGTTGTTGAAATTGCAGACAAATTCAATTATCATCGTCCTTGTCTTTTGGCTGTTGAAATTGCAGCCAAATACAATGTAAATTACAATCAAATGTGTGCCATGTAGCACTTCATTCAGTATGTAACACTTCATTCAATACATTCAATATAAATCATTCAGTACATTCCATATAAACCATTCAATCCCTACATTCAAAAATACCACAATTCGATACATCATACAAAACTCTATTCAACTATTTTCAGATAATATTACAACTGATTTCAACCCTATAACTATGTGCTTTATTCTTCAGCTCTTGAACTTCTTTCTTCAAACATGCAACATCCTCTTTAACTGCTTCAAGTTCTTGTTCTAAATCCTGATTCCCAGTCACAGGTTCATCAATCCATTCCCAATGCTTACACTTCTTACATGCTTTCTTTAAAATCAAATATAAATATTATAAGATTGTAAGAAGCTCAAAATCTTTATTTATTAGAAGGAAAATCAAAAGTACAGAGGGAAATCAAGATCGACATAACAGAGAATTGGGGCAAACTTTGAACTATTTGTTAGGGTTGTCTTTAGTCTTGGATGTGCATATTCGAACCGGGAGTCGACAATCACAAAGCTCCCCTTTCTTTGCGATGGAACCAGATGAACTGGGAGTCGACATCTTCTTCTTCGATTTTGGGTATGGGTTTGAATGTTTTTTGATTGAAGTTAGGGCTACGCATCATATTATAATCGAGATGATCCACGTAGGAGTGTTTTCTTTTAATGAGTGTCCACATAGGCAGCCATGTCAGCAAATATGGAAGCAACCAGTAATAATGACTTAATTTATACACAACAACAAGTTCAAGGGTAAAATGTGGACAAAAAAGTGCCAGGGACTAAATGTGTACAAAACCAATAATATGTTACCCTTTTAAGTCATTATCCCATTCTTAGGTTGAAAACAAGTTTTTAAAATTTTCATAAATGATTCCCTTCTACTTAAAATTAAGTCGTACAAATAATATTGCAATATGTATAAAACTTAGTTGCACCCTATCCTCCCTCACATACACTACATATGGATCGCATACGAAATTGAGACCACATATGAAACTGGTCTTAGTCATCATTTCAATACTGAAATATGTACAAGAATTAATTGCACATGAACCGAATTACCAAAAAATCGAATACTCGAACCTAAAGGGAACAAGCCGTAAAAAGAAAACTAATCTTCGGTTCTTGAACCCCCCCCCCTCCCCCGATATATTAGTGCCCATCCTTTTTTCCTTTGTTCCTCCCTCTCTCATTTGCTTCTCACTTTCTGTCATTATATCACAGCCGAAAAACGAAACTCTAGCCATCACCACCGCACCTCGCTCTCATTTGTGCAAAAAAACTAATCGTATTTAAAAACTAATTTCTGAAAGAAATTATTCGCACTTGTCGCTTAGCGCGGGTAAACGGCTAGTGTATATATATATATATATATATATATATATATATATATATATAATATATATATATATATATATATATATATGGAAACAAATTCTACCTAGTCAAAACACAAAACAGGATAAAACAGGAGCCAAGTAACCCCTATCTAAACTATTCTAAAAAGGTAGCCTACATGGGTTTTACTTATTCAAACTCCTAAAAGAAATAAAGATAACTACAAGAAGGGCTAAAATATCCTAAAAATAATTACTTGATTTTCTCAGTTTGGATTAACACCAACATACGATTGGAAAATCGAAAAAGGATGGTGTCAATCTCAAGATGTGGTGGGATGTCAAGTCCACCAAGAAAATTACACCCTTTGTTTGCAAATAAAACGTAATATAATGGTAAAAAAGGGTATTGATCCTCGGGGAAATGGTTGTATTCAATCACCAATGCAATCCAATAAAACTAGTGTAAATAAACTAACTAGCTACAATTAAACTAAAAGGGGGTGTTTGATTGCTTGAAAACTAAAAGACTTGAATAACTAAAAGCTTGAAATTAAGCAAGATAATGAGATGCTCAAATATTGGAGAGAATTGGTTAACTAAGGCAATTCAATACAATGAACATTTATGTGTTTATCATTAGGATTCAATATGAAGCTTATCATTCATCCTAAATTGGTTATAGCAATCATGAAGCATGATATGCCAAGATTCCTCTTAGGTAGTATGGAGGTTGGGGAAGCCCACAACACACCTTCTTAATCAAGATCAATGATTGAATTGAAGCAATTGAACCCAAGAAGTTGATTAGCCTTAAGAATGAAGGAATCCCCAATTCCTAGAGGATGTTAATGCTTACACATCCATAAAGGAGTTATGATCCATAAGCTAGAGATGATTTTTACCATCATAAAGCCCTTGTTCTAAGTTAATTCAATGATTCAATGCAAAACCAATGAAATAAACCAACAATTGCTCATTCAAGTACCAAGCTCATGATCAAAGCATTAAACAAGCATAAGTAATATGAACTAGAATCATAAACATAAGATAATTGATAACCAAGCATGAATCCTTCAAAAACCCACAAACATTCAAAGATTTTAACCAAAGTTAACCAACATAGAGAAATTAGCCACTCATGGCAACAAAATAACAATCACAAAGGTCTAATTGCATAAAGAAACTACCAATAGCTTGGAAAGATGAAAAGAAATGAGTTTTAAGCTCCAAAATCGCCCTCCCTTGGTGGATTCGCCAAGCCCAATAATGCATCGAAAAGCCCACTAAGCCCAACTCCAGTCAAACCGCAACCGCAATGAGCTCCAAAACCCTGCAAAATATCTCATGCAAAATAAAAAGGCCCCGATACGATCCATGATAAAGAAAAATAAATAAAATACAATGCAATAGTAATAAAAAGAGCTAAAAATCTAAAATAAACTAATAAAAAGAAAGAAATAAAATAAACTATCAAATCACCCCAAGCTTAAACCTAACTTGTCCTTAAGTTAGAACAAGACTAAAATGAGCTCGAGATGAACTAACTAAAAAGGAAAAAGAAAGATACCATAAAACTTTGTCAACATCAGTCAACATGGTCAGAATTAGTCTTTATCTTCAAAATGTTCCCCGCTTTAGAGCCATAAACCACATTCTTAACCACTTGATGGGCGAATAGATCACAGTTGGATGTAGTCGCGGTGTGCAAGACAAAAGGAAACAAAGTATGCGCCCAGTGGGGGCACTTTAAATCACCAATGCAGACCATAATGCATGAAGGAAAGGCGCCTCTTCACACACTATGATTCCTAAATTTGTCAGGCTAAAGTGTATAATAACTAAATAGGGTTTTGCAGCACGACCTTTGGGCAAACATCCGGTTTCAGAGGCTTCTCCCTTGTACTGTCCTTTACAATCTACCGTCTCATCGTCATAGCCTTTTCTCACCAAAATCAAAAATAAAATAAAAATAATGAAAAATCTACTTAACCTAAATCTAAACCTAACAACTTAAATCTTAAATCTCGAGCTTCTGTTATTTGGTCTTCAGTCTCCTTGCTGCTCGATCTTCTGTCTTCTCATTTCTCTACCTTTTTTTTTAATTGGAGAGAATTCTTGAACTTGGATTCTTGTTCTTCTTTTTGTGTTGCTCTTTTTCTTCATTTTTCTTCTTTGATTTTTTTGTCTTTTCCAATTTCTTCATTTTTTTGTTTTTCTTATTGTCTTTCTTCTTGGAAGGTCTAAGGAATTTCACCATGTAACATAGCACTCCAATAGTGAAGATGGAGTAATAGATAAAGGCTTAACATGAACACCTAATGATCATTGACAATGTGTCAAGATCTACTAAAAAGGGTGGGGAATGACTCAAAAATGGGTGTTACCGAAAAAACTTGGTCCTAAAAGATGTGAATTGGGGGACCCGCTTCAAAGTTCATCGAGCACCTCAATGCAAGGTGTGATGAACAAAATCTATCTAACTATCTACTTTAGACCCCTAGAAAAATGATGACCTATCTTAAAAAGGGTGGTGAGAATCTAACTAAGTAAGGCTCGGACGAGACTCGAGAGTACTAAGGGGTACTCCCCCCCAAAATCAAGATGCGAGTCTTCAATATCTTCAATATCTTCAAAATACCTTACCGGGCTAGTCTTTGCTCGCACACATCGGTTTGACCAACCACATCCTCCGCACCTTGACCCAATCAAGCTACCTGTATCTGACCACCAAACAAGCGGTCTCAAAGTGGTCTGTGAGGCTCAAAACGTGTCCCATTTATCAAATACAAGGAATTCCATATCAACACCCGGGACCAATCTATGATTCAATACTTATGACTCGGCGCTATGGTACCTATAGGGATGAGAAGACAATAGAGAACAAAAATGCATGAACTTAAACTAGAATGCATCTAAAAGGTATGAAAATTAGAAAAGAAAGAAAGAAAATATGCAATATTTTTGAATTTTTTTATGCAATTTTTATGAATTACCTAAATGACTTACTCTAAATGCAACTATATACAAGCTAAATGCAATAAAAATAAAAGATAAGAAATACCTCACCCCAAGCTTAAAATTAAGCATTGTCCTCAATGCTTAGGATGAGAGTAAGGAAGGATCATACCGGGATCAAGGTGGAGGAGGCCCGCGAGGATGGTATGGAAGCAACACATGGGTCGTACAATAATGTATGGGTGGAGTTCTTGGCCGCCTAAATACAAACGGGTGAAAGCTTGGTCGTGAAAAGGAAGCCGGTGCAATGGCCCGAAATTTTCTTTATGAAGTGGAAGATTTGCGTGGGTACCCTCGCAAATCGTTTTGTGGGTAAAGAGAAGTCTCGCAAATCGTTGCGCGAGTGAGGGGACAGTCTCGCAAACTTTGAGCGGGTGGGGGATAAGCCGAGCGCGGACATCAGAATGCACCTCGTGTAGGAGTAATTTTTAGCTCAAATTTGCGCGGGTAAGCCTGGGTCGTGCAACGTTTGCGCGGGTGCCCACGCGCACACATCAGAATACATCTCGTGTTAGAGGAATTTTGAGCTCGGATTTGGGCGACTGGGGCTGGGTCGCGCAACCTTTGCGCGGGTACCCGCGTAAATTGCAGATTTTTGGAACTTTTTGCAAACTTTACCAAGATCAATGCTAGACTTCAAGATGCTTATTTTTGCCCAACTTAAATCCTAGAAACACCAAAACTTCAAGTGGAGATTATTTATTTACAATGCATTTATTTAACGTCTTTGCCAAGACATAGCCCCGCTTCTGTCAACCTTCCGAAATCTTAGTTTCCAATGTTACGTTGTCGAATTCTCCCGTGTCAAAGCCTTCATAAAATATTTTCAAATGGTGCCCATTCACTTTGAAGATTTGGTTTGTTTCCAAACTCTTGATTTCAACCACACCAGAATCAAACACTTTTATAACAATAAAAGGTCTGTGTCATCGAGATCGTAATTTTCCCGGGAATAGCTTTACCCGTGAATGATAAAGAAGAACTTTTTGACCCGGAATAAAGTGTTTTTGGGTTATGTGCTTGTCATGAAATGCCTTTTTCTTCTCTTTGTACCTTTTGAACCTTTTAATTATCTTCTTCTTGATGACTTCCATCATTGGAGGATTTAATCTTCTTTGAGCTTCTCTCTTAGGCTTAAAATCATCTTCCATGAGGATCTTGTGTATGCATGCATTAGAGCTTATCCCGTTTATTGGCTCAATCA